GACTAATCCTTTTGATTAACAGAAAAAATATTCTAAGCAAACACCCCATTTCTTTATACAATTTTGAATGAATGAATAAATAAATGAATAGCATCAGAGTATTGAACTAATTTCATCTTAGAATTTCTTAGCTATTTAATCTGCATGCCTTTTGTCCTCCTTTAATTTTATTCTTCTTCTGGTTATGCAGTTCTTGCTCAGAGCTGTGATAGACTTCAAACACTTCACTTCGAGCTGATTTAACCATACACATATTTAATTGGATCTAAAGTTTGGGAGGTCTCAGTTATTTTAAACGTGTCTCTGAAAAGTGACAGCAATATTGTTGAGAAATGCCTATTTTCATTAGTCAATACATTTTATGGGTGAATGACTGATTGTCATTCAAATTGATTATCTGACTTAGAATGTTAAACAGCTGAAAGGTATTTCTTTCACATATCTACAATTCAAGTCATGGAGAGGCCTGTTATGGGAAAGCTATTAAGTGTGGGGAGAAAGAAATGGAAAGACATTGTTATATGGGAGAAATTACTAGCTTTTGTAAAAAGGGAAGTTTTAAAGTTTGGTTAAAGGTTTTTTTTTTAATTTTTTTTCCTTTTACTTCATGTGAATTATCTGCACGATCTGGATCTCAGGCATAAAACTAAAGGAAAGACAATAATTTCCAAAGGCACTTATTGCTGTTAATTTTGAGATAGGTGTTAAAAGAAAGCCCAGCGATGATTTTAGATGTATAATTGAAAGCTGCAATCTAATCATAGATGCTTGATTCCCATTAGAGGCATAATTCATAGCGAGTCACAAAGATGACAGAATGGTGAAACATATGTTCACAATATAAGCTCCACCTTTTTGCATTTCTCTGTGACATCCATACATATTTATTAAAAAGTAGAGTTTGCACTGCAAAGTTGCAAGGCACAGTTTGTCGTTTGCCTTCCATTGTTCTCCTTTGGTGGATGCTCATCGCTCCTGGTAACTCTTGAGGGTGATTCCCAGGATTTCCTGAGCACACCTGCACACCATGGGTGGGATTCAACTGGTGTTACTACCAGTTCGGTGACTACGTTTTGCGCACGCGTGTAAAAAAACCTTAAGCTGTGCTGCCCGGACAGTTGAAAAATGCTACGTGCAAGTGCGTAGCATTTGAAAAGCCACTTTTTTCCTGCTTTTTCAACCTCAGGTGTGCCCCGCAAAGCAGCTGAGGTTGAAAAAGCAGGAAATAAAGGACAAGTAAGAGCCCAGCAGGCGGGTGGGCCAAACAGCAGCAAACACAGAATCGATTCAGTGTCTGCTGCTCTTCAGAGCTACCAGTTCTTTAGAATCAGGCAGAACCGGTAGCATCCCACCCCTGCTACACACCTCTTTTGCCAATAATGTTGAAACTATTCACTATTGCGGTATTCTAGGATGTTTCTACACTTTAGGGATCTCCTGGCGGCTTTCCTTCCTAGCACTAACCAGGTCTAGACTTGCTTAGCTTCTTGAGATGAACCAGAGTGGGTTAGAGATCCCATCTAGCACAAATTACAGGCAGTCCTCAACTTACTACAATCGATCCTAAACTTTCTGCTGCTAAGTGAGACATTCGTTAAGTGAGTTTTGCCCCAATTTTACGATCTCACTTGCCACAGTTGTTAAATGAATGACTACAATTAAGTTTGTAGCACAGCTGTTAAGTGAATTTGGCTTCCCTATTGACTTTCCTTGTCAGAAGTTCACAAAAGGTGATTACATGACCCCGGCACACTGCAACTGTCATAAATATGAGCTGGCTGCCAACCATCTGAATTTTGATCATGTGACTATGGGGATGCTGTGAGGATCCTAAGTGTGAAAAACAATCATAAGTCTCCTTTTTCAGTGCTGTTGTAACTTTGAGCAGTCACTAAATGAACTGTTGTAAATCAAGGACTACTTATTTAGGATTAACATTCTCCCAAAGCGATTCTTATATTTATCCGGTTTGTTAAATGCTTGTCATTTGCACATCTCCATTTAGATACCTGATTCTTGCTTGATATCATTCAGGGGTTTTGCCCTGGAGCTTTTATTCTGTTTGCATTTTGATCTGAGTGACAGCAGTTTCTTTTGAGAAAAGGCTGGATAAAGTCATTGGAAAAATCCTTTTGCATGGAACATTTGGCTGCCATCTTTCCCAAAACCCACTGCACACATCATGTAGAAGAAAAAATTGGCAAGCAATGAGAAGAGGAAGAAATAATAAATCTTAAAAGGTGAGGGATGGGGTCAGAAAGGAGTAATAGATGAAGGATACCATTATGGCAGATGCCAAGGAATACAAGCCAGATTTCAAAAATAACGAGAGAATGTAGGCAGAATGGGGTCAGATTGGCCAGCATTCGGATAGCAATAGCACTAGCACTGAGACTTACAAAGCACTTAGACTTATATACCTCTTTACAGTGCTTTACAGCCCTCTCTAAGTGGTTTACAGAGTCAGCATATTTCCCCTAACAATCAGGGTCCTCATTTTATCCACCTCGGAAGGATGGAAGGCTGAGTCAAACTTGAGCCTGGTGAGATTCTCAGCTGTCAAATTACAGCCAGACAGCAGGCAGCAGAAGTAGCTACAGTTCTTCACTCTAACCACTGTGCCACTGTGGCTCATTATATGCTACTTTGTAGTCTTTTATAGCCCTCAATAAGCAGTTTACTGAGTGAGCACAGTGCCCTCAACAATCTGGGTCCTCAGTTTACTGATCTTGGAAGGATGGAAGGCTGAGTCAATTTGAGCCATTCAGAATTGAACTCCTGGAGGGAACAGTGAGTTAGCCTGCAGTGCTGCATTCTAACCACTGTGCTACCACTTCTGCTTCCATATTAAGCATTATGCTACCATTCTGTAGCGCTTTGGGCTCTGATGCATACGGTACATATTTTTACCATTGTTTTTGCAAAGTGTATAGTATATAGTAGTGATGGCTAACCTTTTTGTCGTCATGTGCCAAAAGTGTGTGTGTGTGTGCATGTGTGCCTGTACCCATAATGCATGTGACTCCCCACCTCCTGCACATGTGGACACGTCCCCCTGTGCACCTTGCACCTCTGCGCATGTGTGCATGACCCCCATGTGCTGCGCACCTCTGCGCATGAGCGTGAGACCCCCTGCATGTGCCCCGCCCCCTGTGCATGGACATACATCTCCCTTGCATGCCCCACCCCCTGCACATGCGCGGCTGGCTGATAGGAGGCACGTGTGCAGGCGCAGTGGATCTGTTCCGGGTGATGGCTCATGTGCCAGCTTTGTGTGCCACTTCTATAGGTTTGCCACCATGGGTATATAGGCACTGTTATGAGTTATGATCCAGAATCTGTAGATATTTCACCCCCATTTTCTTGTTAAATAAGTCTTCCAAATTTCACCCAAGGAAGCCTTTTTTAAGACTACAATAATTTCCTTTTTCTTTGCTGTGTTAGTTTTAGTGCTGTTTCATTTTAAGATCCATTTCTGGTTAATTGATACCTGACCTGCTTTTCAGTCCTGTAATGTGTAAAATCTCATTTTCTTATTGCTTTAGAGTATTGGGCTATCTGCACTGAGGGTGGGTGATATCTATGTTGTACTGCTATTGGGTTAAGAACATAATACCATTTTTTTTTGTCTCTTCCGTTACTAGATTCTTTTTAAATAAGTTTTCTTTTGTTAGTAAAAGTTGAAAGATTAAAAAAAGAGAGATACAGCTGAGGAAGATAAGGCTCTACTTAGGCAAAATATTTTATTTATTTATTACATTTCATGCAAAATGTATGAGCTATTAGATTATTGTTGCTATTGTTACTTTTTTGATTGATTAAGCATTTCTGTAATCAATGTTGTTGTTCCATCATCTTGAGCTGCCTGATTGGCTCTTTGGGAGTTCTGGAGTCATGGTGGTGCAGTTGTTAAAGTGTAGTATTGCAGGATGACTCTGCCCACTGCCAGGAGTTCGATCCTGACTTGCTCAAGATTGACTCAGCCTTTCATCCTTCCAAAGTTGGTAAAATGAGGGCCTAGACTGTTGCATTCAACATGCTTATTCTAAATCACTTAGACCAGTGGTCCCCAAACTTGTGGCTTGGCAGTCTGGCTGAGGAGAAGTTGCGCGAGCTGTGGGCTGGTGGGCACTCATGCATGTGCACACTGGCCTGTCACTTGTGCAAGTTGAGCTGCCACATGTACATCAGCCCGCCACTCGCACAAAGGCTGTGTGTGCATACACGAGTGCCCACCAGCCCGCCACTCGCACAACTTAAGCTGCATGTGCACTCCGGCCAGCACTCAGGTGGCCAAATTCCAAATAGGCCACTGGTTCAGAGTGCTGTAAAGTACAGTGAAGTGGTATATAAGTCTATTGCTATTGATGGAACTTTCAGTAAAGCAAGCTGCAGAAAAAAATAATTCTATATGTGATATCTTGTATTTGATCCTTAGAAATATCACAACCAAAGCCTAAACTGAATCTTGAAGAGAACTAGAAATAATAGCATTAGCACTAACAATAGCACTTAGCACTCAGACTTATAATATATACTGTGTCAGCATTCCAGCAAACCTCCATTCCAATCAGTAACTTTGAGACAAGTATAATCTCAAAAGTACCTTTATTAGAATAGCACCTGACACATCTGTGAAATCTTGAAACTAAAGTTTCCTGGACTTCCCACAATGTCCCAAACTACAATCCATCCCCTTTTCTCCCATCATCACATCACATGGACCAGTCACGATCTGTCCTAGTGTAAGATCCTTTTTTCATACTGCGCCACACTTAATAACCTTCAACTAAGAAAGGAATTTTATTTTGTCTACTTAGAACTACTCAATTGAAATCACCCAACTCCTCAGGCCATGTGGCAGCATGGAATATGGCTTCCAAAGCTGACATACTGTCTCATAGTGCTTTACAGCCCTCTCTAAGCGGTTTACAGAGTCAGCATATTGTCCCTAAAAATATGGGTTATCATTTTACCAATCTTGGAATGATGGAAGGCTGAGTCAACCTTGAGCCTTGTTCATATCGAACTCCAGGCTGTGGGTAGAATTCGCCTGCAATACTGTACTTTAAACACAGCAGCTGCGTTTTCTGAATAGAAAATTCAGAAAGGCTCAGGAAGGCTTAATGAAGCAAGGAAGAGCCAGCTGACAATGGAGGATCTCAAGCCAATGTTTTCCACATGGTGGTTTTGACTGAGGAAAAAACTTAATCTTAGAAAAGAAACCCTAAATGCTTCAGGGAATGAGAAACAGAACATGGGAGAACCTGAAAAAAAAAAAAGATTTTGGAACAGAAATGTATGACTCCAAAACCAGGCGGAACATTATAAATATAGAGTCAGTGAGAGCTGGGTAGTATATACATTTAATAAAGTATTACCTGCTATCACATTATCTTACAGTAATATTATTGTGGGATCTCATCTGTACATATTACTGTCTTGATAATCAGTATATTGTTTAGTTGTAATCCCTTTACATTTTGAGCAAATTAAATGTCCATGCTGCTTTTTATTTCCATGCTGCTATCTTAAATGCAACATATGCGATCCTGATACAAAGGGGAGATCCTTCATTACATTCTAGCATTTATAACTAGCTCTTAAGCCTCCAATAGACTTCTACGGAAGTGTAAACAGTTTTATACTGGAGCTTAGTTTTAAATAATGAAAATTTTAAAGAGAGGTTGACATCCAAAGTTCAGACTTTTTGGAGGAACATCACTGGACACTTTTATCTATGATGTATAATTTATTTAGAAATATATACAGATGGAAGATAAGGGAAGGATTTCTAATAGTAGCTCATCTATCAATTCCTGTTTCCAGTTAGATTTTTAAATCAATTCTTGATGCCCCAGGATATCACAAAGAGTATAAGAGTTGTTGCTTCCTATGCTTCCTATTTGAAAAGCTTAATTGCTTTAGGAAGTGGTTGGATTTGCTTCTAGACCAAATCTAGAAATGTACCTCTGACTAGTTACCTGAAAGTCAAAAACTTTGGGGTTAATCAAGAACACAGATAGTACCCTGGCTTGTCTCCTTCTTGACTCTGATGCAGCTTCCTTAAAGAAAATGGCAAAATAAGAGTTTTTCACATGTTCTCTGCTTTAGTGATATTTGAATATCATTTTGGGGGACAGTATTGTTTCCAGTTCAGCAGAGCCAATGATTGCTCTCAGATTCTGAATTTTCTGAAAACAGCATGAGATAGCACTTATGGCAAAAACATGCTTAACCAAACCGAAGATTAAAGTACAAAAACGGGAGGAGGCATCTGAAATTTATAAGACATTATCAATGTTTTATCATGCATCACATTGCAATGGTGCATTAACCCTGTTATATTTTGCATCTCAAAATGTTCTAACAATTAGTCAGAGATTTCTCATTTATGTATTCCAGGTGTGACTAGACTGCTGTACATCTGGAGACTGAATTTTTCAATTAATACTGAATTTAAGCAACCCTCTCCACCCAAAATATGTTTTAAATAAAGTAATCATGAATGCACAGTAAGAATCTCATTTGTGAGCAATAAGGATTTAAGTGATATTTAAAGGTGTCTAATATCTTCAAATTACAATTGAGCTTAATTGTGATGTAGCTTCTTTGTTTTTAATGTTAAACCAGGTCACATTTCAAGGGCTTTCAGGATAAAATTTAATTGTATTTTTTAGTTTTATTTATATATTGTTATTTTACCACATCCAGAACTAAAATGAAAATTTTAATTAGAGATAACAATTAGCATCGCATACCACATTTCTGGAAATATGTATGATTTAATATAAATCCAAAAATACCACTGGAGAAAAAGAACAAAAATAAACATTTTTCGGCAGCCAATCATGGAAAAATATAGATAAAACAGAAAAATTTAAATAATCTTCTGTTGATAGTGCTATTTGAAATCATGCTTTCATTTTGTTTTTACATTCAGCATGTGACATGCTGGATTATATGGATATAAAATTAAAATCATATTAAAAACTGTTTTTTAAAAATAAAAAACTGTGATAAGGTATCAGCTATAAAAATATTTAATCCATATGATTCATAGTGTATCATACAACCAAGTTAATGTATTGTATATCTAGCAAAGATATACAAACATATTGTATTTTTACAAAGATAGTGTCAAGTAGGTATTTAATCCTTTCAGTGAAATGAAGTGGGTTAAATGTGTTTAGGTTTGGTTTTTGGATGTGGAGTATATATGGCCTATCAATATGTCACATACACTTTCTGCAGAGTAACGTGCAAATATAAATATTGCTCCCTTCCTATATTATGTACTAAGACAAATTGGGATATGTTTATTTTATTGCTTTTTCTGACTGAAAGGCTTCCTCTATTGCTGGCAATAAACTCATAGAGAACATAATAGGGATTATCTTCTGTCTGGTAAAAATGATGCCTTTCAAAAATATTAAAAAAGGCTTAAAGAAACTGTAATCAAGGCACTTCTCTCTGTTTTATCGGGTACTTATATGTAAAGGAGTGAAGAACAGATGCTGCCCATTTCAAATATCTGTTTGTCAGATGGTCATTTTAAGACTGCTCTGTTTATGTTGTAAATTCAAGATTTATAGATACCAGTTGAAGGCTAAATATACTAATGAAGGTTGATTTGCCTGACATTACATTGTGATTGAGGTTAGATTTCATGAGCCAGTTAATTTGGGCAAAATCCAACCAATTAATTCTTTCCCCCCTGATTTTGCTGATTGATTTAGGTTTTCACATAAGGTACACATATTTTACAGACAGTGCATGAAGGTTTTAAGTGTGTGGGTGCTCTGATTATGTCTTCCACTTTTCTCTTTATTTTTAGACTTTGCACTGCACCCAATATTGTATCTCAGCAGCTGAATTATCTACAGCTCTGAAGAAATCTTTTGTTAACCTCTAAAAACATCTAGAGTGAAGAATTTTGTCTTATTGCAGAACTTTTGTAGGAGTAAAATTTATTTGAAGGGACAAATATTACAACACAGATTTAACACATTAAGCTTAGGAAAGTGCCAGCCCTGTTTCAGGTTAGGCATTTATGAAAGAAAGACCCTCGACTCCATTTGTAGCAAAAGGTTTAGTTTTACTAAAGTCAAGTAGTTACAGTGTACGCAAAGCCAGAGCTGAATATTCCTGCATAAATCCAGTGTTTTTCTCTTTTCCCAGGCCCTCCCTCCTTGGTCATCTTGTAAATGCTCAATGGTATTCAAACTAGGTGCTTTGGTAACAGTTCTAAAGTTTGACACCTCTCGGTGGTTGGTTGCATTCTGTTCTCATGCCCGGGTCCTTGAATCTTTCAACTGTTGTCTTTAGTTGGCACTTCTGTTTCCTGTCATCTCCCCTCCTTATATTCCCCCAGTCCCCTTCCCCCTTTTTATGGCAGGATGACATCAAAGCGAAGTAAGGCTGAAGCAGTGTGATGGCAGATCTGACAGCTTAATCAAAAGCAGCCCTGAAAATGGAACTGTTCACAATAATGGATAAACTAATGTCTATGGAGATTCTCAGTCATCCAGGTCATAGTTGTCCCAAGGATGCTTTATTTTTTCAAAGGCAACTGGACTTTCTGGTTTTTCTCTGAATACATTCTTCAGCTCTGAAGAAGCTTCTTGAATGAGAAGTGAAACATTTTCAAAGAAAGTCCAGTTGCCTATTGAAAAAAAACCACCTTTGGGACCTCCTAATTATGGTTAGCAAAGAAGTAAAGTCCTTATGACAAAGAATTGGCAACACGAGGTCTGTAGAATCTCCTTCGATGCCCATCAGATTGGATTTATTTATTTTGGCTTAAGAAAAGTATATACACTTCAGTGACGAAAGCCATATTAAAAATGCAAAAGTACATTGGGCTTCTGAATGGCCTTGCCACCTCTTCATACCTTTTTTAAATTTTTTATAGACATAACTGGATAGAAACCAATCAATAAGCTAAAGCTAAAAGCAAAATCAGAGAGCTCAAATTTGTAAGAGCAACCTTAGCCACCTGACTGTGTCTCTGGGAGCTTGACGCACAACAGACGGCAGAAACGAAGCCACTCCATCCTAGAAATGTCCTTAGAAACATTTTGTTATGCTCTATTTCCCTCGTCCATTCTTTTGTAATTTCCTACTCAGCCAAATAAAGAAAGTATTTAAGTGCTACATTTTGGTCTGGTTCTTAAACAGAGTTTACACAAGTAGCATTAGGGTATAGCTAACTGTGCTGAGAAGGAATAGGGAAGTATGAATAAGACCTACAAGTCTTTATAATCTCCGCTGACAAAGGTGTTGGTGCTAGCACTGATGGCGTTACCTAGTTTGGTAATGAAATGTCTGCAAGAAAAGCACCAATCTCAGAGACCACCAAGAACCTCAAAGTGTTGTTGCTATATCCAGAGAACAGACATGGTGGGTATATCCATGAACTAGTGCAGGATATCTCAGGGCTAATCTAATCAAATTAATTCTCATAAACTCTTGAACTGGATTCTAACAAGGAGGTCTGTTTATGGGCTTTTACTCTTAATATGGGTAGCCTGAGAATAGAGTCACAGTATGGGCCTATGGACATCCTTTATAATGGAGTTCCAAATGCTTAGTTGTTAATTGAATCTTAACATGAATTCACTAAATGTTGTGTGGGCAGAAAAGGGGAAGTTTTATTAGTCAATCCTGGCATCAAAATTGGGCATAATACTGTATACTTTTATTTACAAGAATGCCTTTGCATCCATACAGACCTCATAGCTATTCTTAGACAATGAAATATTCTAAATCAGTGTTTCTCAAGCTTGGCAGCTTGAAGATGTATGGATTTCAACTCCCAGAATTCCCCAGCCAGCAAGGGAATTCTGGAAGCTGAAGTTCACACATCTTCAAGTTGCCAAGCTTGAGAAACACTGTTGTAAATGTTCAGAAAACTCAGTTTTTCTTTTTTTAAGAAAAAGGTCTGGCAAACTGGAGAACTATGAAATATCCTAGGGGCATAATTAGAATGTTAAAGACTATTTTGTAACATACAACATCAAGAAGAGCAGCCATTTTGTGAATAGGCAAGACTCTAAGGCAGCCATTTTGTAAACTATGATATACCCTCAGAAATTCAAACATCCTTACCAACACCCCAAATATACTCTGCATTAAGTGCTTGAATTTATTTTTGTCCTTAGAAATGTTCAATTTTTTGTTCTGCACTTGACCCCTAGTTTTTTGCTTACAATTGTTTAAAAAGTGTACATATCCCCTACAAGATTCAACCCCTGAAATATTCTTCTTCTTCTTCTTCTTCTTCTTCTTCTTCTTCTTCTTCTTCTTTTTAAAAAAAGAGAATTTAAGATGTCAGACCCTGCAAAGATCCTTGCCTTCAAGAACCACTACTTTGAACATATTGTACTAGATATACCAAGGATTACGTCCAGCTATACAGCAGCCTTTTTCCTGTAATGCTTAGAATTATTTATTCTTCTAAAAATACAAATATTTCACAGATATTGCCCAACATAAAACACTGAATACATAATTCAGACTTGCAGCTTTTGAGATTTATTTTTCCAACAAACTATAAAAGAATGCCAACATACTTGCAAATAATTACAGGATTGCTTTCTATCTCTGGTTTAACAGATGCAGCAATGTCTGATTTCTCACTCCTGCATACAGTATTTGCCTCTCCCAGACTCAAGTATATTGGATCCAGAATTAAAATATCAGTTCTGTTCGTCACTATCTAACGGTGCATTTAAATCTGAATGGATGCCTTTTTATTTGCAAATTGTAACTGCCGAATCTATTCAGGGCTTAATGAGTTTCACAGATTCAGTAGTAATTGAATCTTCAAGCCTTTCTGAATTGGCCAACATATTCACAAGAGCTGGAGTTATCATAAGGAGCTCTATTAGAAGAGGGAACAATTGGATATTTAACAAGAGTCAGAGGTCATAGGGTTTGAGTACAGTTGTCCTATATTGGTGCTATTTCTTTGCCAAAGCTGTGTGCTTACATCTTGAATAGGTGGTTGTAAGTAATTTATAAACTTGATCCACGTGACTATCTCATGCCAAATACATAGACACATACCCATCATTTTATTCTAAGTTTTTTTAGAAAAGGAAGTGAGATGAAGCAAATCTAGTTTATATTAATACCATTCATGATGCATGCCCATATCTATCATTTGAAGGCATCCTTGCTTCCATCATTTAGCAATAGCACTTAGACTTACATACTGCTTCAGAGTGCACATCCACTCTCACATCACTTGCAGCCCTCTCTGAGCTGTTACAGTGTCAGCATATTGCCTCCAACAATCTGGGTCGTCATTTTACCGATCTTGGAAAGACTCCTGGCAGAGGAATGCAGAGTTAACCTGAAATACTGCATTCTAACCACTGTGCCATCACAGCTGTCATATTTATATTCCATTTCATACATTGTGAAATGTAAACTTCTCATCTCTTTCTTTCTAAACATCTCCTTAGCTTCTTCCATTTATAACTTGTTCCACTCAACCTGTTCACTCATCTTTTGTGTATTTGTCTAGCAGTTAGATTCTTATTCATTCTCTCTCTAAGAACAAGCCATTTCAATGTACTTTTGTTCTAATCACTCCGTTTTGTATTCACTTCACCAGTTCACTTATTCAGCACCTATTCATTCTGAAGCTATGTCTTTTTATGCATACTTATTCACAATTCTGTTGTTTAACATGTCACAAACATTCCCATTCACATCACTTAAATAACCATTTTGCAGTTATTCCATTTTCATTCTAATTTTTTTCACTTTTCCCTTTCCTTGCATGTACATTTTATTTCTAAGGATTGCTCCTAATACTGTCAATTAATGATCTGTCCAAAATCAGAACATTTCATATTCTTCTCTGTATCTCATTATTTCATTAAAATAAAACAAAAAACTGTTCCATGCATCCATTCATATCACTCAGAGAATATATTATTTCATTCATTCACTCACTCACTCACTCATTATGCTATGTATTTTTCCTCAAAACTCATTTGTTTCCTCTATTATCACTTAACTGACAACTGTCATCATAGTATGGATTTTTAGTTTTAAATACATCCACAATTAATACTGACTACTGCTATCTATCTTTCTCAAAAGAACGAAGGATAGAGTGAGCCTGGAGTCCAGTGTTTTTACTGTTCCATGTCTTTTAGAATGATGGTTGAGGCACCAGTTAATGATTATCATGATTATATATACAAAACTGTGACATCCCATTTTTTTTAAAAAAAAAACTAGCATTGGCCTTCATATGCATCAAATTCTTCCTCAAAATCTTAAATGTCATAATGTGGTATATCTGCGAATCCAAGCAGTGTGGTCTGTTGTAACTGACAGATGGAAATTTTATCAATGTATTCATGTTATTATTTATTATTATTATGATGCAGCCCAAGATTTTTCAGTACAGCACCCAGCATGCTGAAAAGCACTGGGACCACCATGGCTGATTTATTCATAATCTTTCAACTTTGGTTTTCAGTTCTTAATACATTGTGAAAAGTGGGGAAATTATACTGTATTTCATTAGCACTCTTTGCTGTTTGATAGGCAAGGTTATTCTTGGAGAAACTGTTTCATCAGCTACTTTGCAGAGGCAGCATTTTCTGTTTGTTGTTGTCTTATTATTATTATCTGCCCTGAGTTGTGTTTCTGGTGTTGTGAGGTAGAGGATGGGGTTAAGTGATAAATTGATCACTTAACCCCCTTCTCTGCCCCAAAGGACCAGAAATATGGTCTTCACTCATTCCAATGATATCATAATACTCCCATACAGGGCAACATTTTTAGAAGATAATTTTAGCCTCTGGCTGTAAAAATATGACTCACCTTTGCATTAAAATAATTCACTAGATGCTTAGGCATTTTACGTAAAAAAATTATTTGAAGTATTTTTGTAATGAACACATGAATGAATAGTTTAATAAAATAAACTATCAAGTCCTGTGATTTTGGTACACTTAATAAAACTAAATTATGAGTTGGATTACATTTTTATATGTGGATGCTATCTAAGTGGCAAAAGTAGTAACTATACCTTTGCCATTATATATACTTGCCATATTGACTAACATATGTCGAGTTTTTTTAGATGCATTCAAGGTTACTCTACTACCAGGGACCATAGGATTCTAGTCCCAATTGAGCTGAAGGATTCATCAAAGTTTATTTAGTTCAGGTAAACATGGTTCCTTCAAAGTAAGAACCAGAAATTTCAGTATGACTTTCACTGAAGGAAATAAGTCTAGGGTTGGATTCTCGATGTTTTGTGATAACAAAAGAATTCTCAAGACCTCTTCTCAAAACCAACTCTAGAACAGGGTTGTCAAACTCCCAGCCCGTGGGCCGGATGCATTACATGCTGGGCACGCCCATACCTGGTTTAGTGAAGGGGAAAAAAGATCTGATATGTGATGTGACGCTGCCGTGATGTGTCAGTTTGACATCCCTGTTCTATAAGAAATCACTTGAGAAAATAAAGTGTGAGATACTAAGCATTATATTAAGTTATGAAGATTTTCTTATACCTTAAATACTTACAGGGCTAACTAATATTGTTAGTTTTCTTGACTTATTAATACAACTGAGTATACTTGTGATGAGAGAAACATGACTTTACCACTGTCTTTCAGATCAAGATACGTTGACAATTACTTTTCCAGGATCACGCTAAGCCCCTGGCTCGGTCTTTGCCATGCAGTTTTTCAAAAACCAACAGAATTGTTTCCTACTGATGTTTTTGCCACAGCTTCTCTGGATCTATCTGCTTTTAAGGGAGCCATTCCCCCTCCTCTTTTTAAAGATCTGTAATTGTCAGTAATTGCTTGCTTGACAGTTTTGGAGTTGTTTTAGAAGAAAATAGGATGGGTTCCTCTATAAGCCAAAGAAAGAAAATGAATAACGCTTTAAATTAAAGTAAGCTGTCTGGGTCTGCTTTTGCAAACTAGCTTTTCTTCTTGTGAGGGATCATTGAGTGGGAAAGATGGGGCTTGACAAAGGAGGCACTACCAGGTCAGGTGAAATCTGCAGATGAAACCATTGGATGTGATTTATGGTCCTGGGCATCTACATGAGGGTAGGCATGGAGGGAAATCATTTGCATTTATTATGTCTTTGTCTAAAGTTTAGACTCTAAATGAATGTTATGATATTTGCATCTATTGGATCATGTGGCACTAACAAAAGCTGCATGAGTCCTGTCATTTGTGTGATGGTATTGTGATTTCTAATGGATATATGTGTGACAAATGTCAGCTCTTATATTTACCTGATTTAACTTACTTCTCTCACTAGAACATAGAATAACAGAGTTGGAAGGAACCTTGGAGCAGCAGTGGGATCCTACCTGTTCCACTACCGGTTCAGTGATAGCGTGTGCGTGTGCACGCACCTAACACATGTGCACCTAACGCTCACACAGCTTTCCCCACACCAGCTGAGGCATGCAGTGCCAATCAACTGAGAGGATAAAGAAGAGAAAAAGCACAGGGCAGATGGGAGGGCCAATCCTGCGCTTTTCCCTTCTTTCTCCCCTCAGCCGATTGTCGGCTTTTTTTTTTCTCCTCTCAGCTGATGTGGGAGGCTTTTTTTACTACCCGTTCAACCCAACCGCTCCGAACCGGTAGTATACCACCATTGCCTTGGAGGTCTTCTAGTCCAACCCTGTGCTTAAACATTTCAGACAAGTGGCTGTCCAGTCTCTTCTTAAAAACCCCCCAGAGATGGAGCTTTTAATAGATGACATTGAATTCAATGCGTTACCCAGCCAACACTGATATTAAAGCCTGTGCTCATTACTATTTTATTATACCTAATGATGTTTGGGCCAAATGGGTAGTGGCAGGATAAAAATGTAACAAATAAGTAAACAGACAAAATATGCTAGATGCTATACATTGCTAGGGAAAGGGATCTCAGGATACTTAAAAAAAAAAAAAACAAGGCTTTTAAAGAAATAATTCATTCAAGCTATGACAACACAGTATTCTATATCTATAGAGATTCTAGTCCTCCAGGTCATGGTTGTCCCAAAGGTGCTTTTTCAAGAGGCAACTGGACTTTCTGGTTTTTCTTTGAAGACATTTTGCTTCTTATCCAAGAAGCTTTTTCAGAACCAGAGAGTCCAGTTACCTCTTGAAAAAAACACCTTTGGGACAATATTTTATGATTGTATTGTGTGGTGTGCTACTGGGATGTTCAATCGGTTGGATGCAGAAGCAAAAGGAAGAACAGATATTTTTTACAATTGGATCTTTGGTGCTCTTTGAGCATTGTGATTTTCTTTCAGACGTTTCATTACCAAAGTAGGTTACATCATCAGTACTAAAAGGGAGTGGGGTTTGGTCTTATTTTTCTACTATCCCATCTCATTATTCCTTCCTGCTCTTATTATTTTTCAGCAGAGAAGAGAAGAAGCAAAAGGGAAACATTTTGATTGTACATGCCATAAAAATGGTATCTCTTTTGTCCCAATAAGTTTCTTCAGAGAAACTAAACAGGCACCAAATTGGCTTTGTAGCTTGGTTTCCAGCTGATATTCTCTTTAATCAAACTAATACCAAATGCATGATTTAGAATTCAGATCTTGACATTCAAGGGGATCCTCAGCTTGATTGTTGAGCCCTCCTCCTTTCTCCCTCCATCCCCCCACCCAAAAAAAAAAATGAATAAGGAAGCCAATCCAGTTTGTATTCAGATCAATAGTTATATTTATTGATTTGATTTTAATTCTGCCTTTGTTATTATATAAGTAATTCGATGACCCATTAGAGCGAGGAGGCAGGGAATGTTGTGAGTCTCATCCCTGAGGGAGATATACCTGGTGGGACCCAGAAGAAGGGCCTTCTCTGTGGTGGCTCCCTCTCTCTGGAATATCATTCCCCCAGAGATTAGAATGGCCCTCACTCTAGCACTCTTCTGAAAGGCACTGAAGACCTAGTTTTGCCAGCGGGCCTAGGAAACCCAGAGAGGGATGGAGCCCATCAAATGGCTCTTGTGATCTGCTGTCATCAGGGCGGGGGGTGGGAGTTGGGTTTTTGTTTTTTCCCCAAATTTTGTTCTATTGTACTTTACTAATTTATTTGATACTTTTTGTTAGTTTTTATTGTTTTTTATTTTTATTTTTTGCTTTAAATATGGTTTTACATTGTGTAAGCCACCTCGAGTCACCATGGGTGAATAGGCGGCAATATAAATTAAATTAAATTAAATAAATAAGTAACTAAATAATTAAAGGTAGTAAATGTACTTAATACTCCTTCAGCCTCCTATTTGCTCCACAGCAACAACTTTGGCTCGTAACATTTTGAATCAACATGGTGTTGATATAATTTGGTAAATGTGTAATTTTTGACTTCTGCAAAATGACTCTCA